AAAGTGTAGATAAGAAGCAAGAAGACGCAACGGCAGTTACTACCGATGATCTCATGGTCGTTTGTGAAGATGATTGTATTAATTTTGTGGGCCAAGAGAGCAATTGGGTGATTGATTCTAGTGCTTCTTTTCATGTGACTTCTCGAGTTGATTTCTTCATTACCTACACCAAAGGCGATTATGGTTCTGTTTGAATGGGTAATGAAGGTTTGTCCAAGATTATTGGCAGGGGTAATATTTGCTTGGAAACAAATTTGGGCTGCAAGTTGTTGCTTAAAGATGTAAGGCATGTTCCCGACATTCGCCTCAATTTGATATCTACCGGGAAGTTAGATGATGAAGGCTTCAACAACAAATTTGGTGATGGAATATAGAAGCTCACAAAGGGTTCTTTGGTGGTGGCTAAGTGCAAGAAGACTCATACACTTTATTCGATGCAAGGAAAAATTTGTAAAGGTGTTGTCAATGCACTTGAAGATGATACTTCTACCGAATTGTGGCACAAGCGACTTGGGCACATAAGTGAAAAGGGGCTGCAAGTTTTGTTCAAGAAAGAGCATCTACCCGGTTTGAAAGGTATACATATTAAAACTTGTGTTCATTGTTTGGCGGGTAAACAACATAGAGTTTCTTTTCATAAAAATTTTGCTTCTAAAAAAGAAAATGTTTTGGAGTTGATTCATTCGGATGTTTGTGGTCTTTTGAAAGTTAGAACATATAGTGGTGCACTTTATTTTGTTATTTTCATTGATGATTATTCAAGGAAAGTTTGGGCTTTTCTACTAAAAACTAAAGATCAAGTTCTAGAAGTATTTAGGCATTTTCAAGCCATGGTTGAAAGAGAAACGGGGTAGAAATTGAAGTGCATCCGATTAGACAATGGTGGTGAATACATTGGGCCATTTGACGAGTATTGTCGTAGCCAAGGTATTTGGCACCAAAAGACAGTTAAGAAGACTCCTCAACAAAATGGCATTGCCGAGATGATGAATCGCACCATTGTGGAAAGAACAAGGTGTTTGCTTTCACAAGCTAAATTACCAAGATCCTTTGGGGGTGAGGCAATGAAGACAACGGTTGATGTGATCAATTTGTTACCTTCCTATCCTTTGAATGGTGATGTTCCAGAAAGAGTTTGGACCGGTAAATATGTGTCTTATGAGCACTTGAGAGTGTTTGGTTGTCGAGCTTTTGTTCACATTCCAAAAGATGAGAGGTCCAAGCTTGATAATAAGTCAAGACAATGTATTTTTCTTAGCTATGGGCGTGATGAATTCGGGTATAGATTGTGGGATCCGGTCGACAAGAAAGTCATTTGAAGCCGTGATGTTGTGTTTTTTGAAGACCAAACAATTGAAAACTTTGGCAAAGGTGATCAACTGAAGCCAAAAATTAGTGACCTCATTGACATGGATCCATCTCCTTCATCTTCAGTTGATGATGAAAATGGGAGAGATGTGCAGCCACCCATTGAAGATGTAGAGGATGATGCTAATCCTAATGAAGTTGAGCTAGAAATTGAGGAAGAACATCCAACTCAAGAACCGTCACCATAACTTGAGTTGAGGAAATCTACAAGGGACCGACAACCTTCAAGAAAGTATCCTTCCAATGAATTTGTGTTGATTTCCGATCAAGGGGAGCCTGAGAGCTACCAAGAAGTAATTGAGCATACAAAGAAAGGTGATTGGAAAAAGGCCATTGACGAGGAGATGAATTCCTTACTTGAAAACCAGACTTATGATTTAGTGAAGTTGCCTAAGGGGAGGAAAATTCAGAAAAATAAGTGGGTTTTCAAATTGAAGAATGATAGTAAGAATATGAGGTACAAAGCACGTCTTGTTATGAAAGGCATTGGGCAAAAGAAAGGTATTGACTTTGATGAGATTTTCTCGCCGGTTGTGAAGATGTCTTCTATTCGGGTTGTACTTGGCATGGCCACAAGTATGAACCTTGAAGTTAAGTAACTTGATGTGAAGACCGCATTTCTTCATGGTGATCTTGAAGAAGAAATTTACATGGAGCAACCAGAAGGTTTTGTGGAGCAAGGGAACGAGAAATTTGTTTGTAAATTGAAGAAAAGTTTGTATGGCCTCAAGCAAGCCCCGCGACAATGGTACAAAAAATTTGACTCTTTCATGATGAATAATGATTTTTCTAAAACCACTTTGGACCATTGTGTATTTGTGAAAAATTTCCCAGATGGCAAATTTATTATTCTTTTGCTTTATTTTGATGACATGTTAATTGTGGGTCAAGATTCTACCATGATTAGCAGGTTGAAATTGGAGTTGAGCAAGTCTTTTGCTATGAAAGATTTGGGACCAGCAAAGTAAATTCTTGGTATGAAAATTGTTCGTGATCGCAAAGAGAGACTGATTTGGTTGTCTCAAAAAAGTTACATTGAGAAGGTTCTTGAGAGATTCAACATGGATAAAGCAAAGCCGGTTGGTTGTCCACTTGCGGGTCACTTCAAACTTAGTTCAAATCAATGTCCTACAAGTGAGAAAGACAAGGAAGAGATGCTGAAAATTTCTTATGCTTCAGCAGTTGGTTCTTTGATGTACACCATGGTTTGTATAAGGTCGGATATTGGTCACGCCGTTGGTGTGGTGAGTCGGTTTCTCTCTAATTCGGGTAAAGAACATTGGGCAAGGGTGTAAGAGGAGCTAATTTGAGCCCACTAAATTAATTAGGCCCAATAGTCCAAGGTTGATGGGCCCGAATTTATCGCAAGTCCAAGATTGGTGGGCCTAGATTTATCGCCATCAAACGGGCCGAATCGCTCTAAGCCTCGAAAAGGTTCGGATCTATGAACTTAGAGACTTACTCAGGTTTGGGCTTGAAAGGGGTCAGATCCACAAACCTAGAGATCCGATGTACATGGCTTCGAACGGATTCAAACGCAATCTAGAAGTCACTCTGTTAATGAGTCCCAGAACACTTGCAGGCTTGGAGCTTTCTGGGATCTACGCACCAGAACCATAGGCGTAATGGAGTTCGAGCAAAGGACCCAATCCCGAGGACGGTGAGTGGAGATAAATTCACTCTTCGGTTAAACTAGCCTATACCCGGGTCGAGGTGGCATGATCTAGGGGGTCCCTGAGACTCGGCAATATTTGCGGCAGGGCGTTCTCTTGAACTATCCCTGACCTTTATGTGGCAGGACGTCCTCTGGGACTACCCTTGGCCCTTTGGGATGATTGGGGGATCATTGGTTAGGTGTGGCTAAGAATAACGGTTCGCCGAGAGGTTGATCCCCTCTTCAGGATTTTTCTCATCCTCGTAGAGGTCATCTCCTCGGACAAGGTGGTTAGAGAGAATATTCCCCATGTGCCTTGCACATGGGCTCCATCCTACATCATGAGGTGCCTATAAATAGCACCCACCCATAGCTTTACAAGGGATGGATTTTGGAGAGATGACTCTTGGGAAAGAACTAATTTCCCATCTCCATTATCAACGTTGAGAGTGAAAGTGGGAGATCCATGGGAGGGCCTTGCCATTATTTTCTTTCTAGTTACTTTGCTTTTTTCTTCACCCAATCTCTGATCTCCATCATCTCCTTTACTCTTGTGTTCCTAAGTTGAGATTATTGAAGAATCTAAGCCTCTCATCATCTTCTAGAGAATTCGAAATTGTAGGATCTTTGAAGATCTTCGAATTTTCCAATGACGTTCTTGAACCCCTCTCATACAAGCGGTAAAATGGATTCTAAGATATCTTCGAGGGACTTCGAAGGTGTGTTTGTGTTTTGGAGATGGTAAGCCGATACTTGATGGGTTCACAGATTCTGACATTGCTGGTGATGTTGATTCTAGGAAATCTACTTCAGGGTATTTGATGCCTTTTGCAGGGGGAGCTGTGGCATGGCAATCTAAATTACAAAAATGTGTCGCTCTCTCAACTACCGAAGCTGAATTTGTTGCCATTACGGAAGCTTGCAAAGAAGAGTTATGGTTGAAGAAATTTTTGTAAGAGTTGGGTTTGAAGCAAGAAAAATATGTGCTTTATTGTGATAGTCAAAGTGCTATTCACTTGAGTAAAAAATTCTACTTTTCATTTGAGATCGAAACGCATTGATGTGAGATATCATTGGATTCGTGATGTGTTAGATTCGAAATTGTTACAACTCGAAAAGGTTCACACAGATGATAATATTTCAGATATGTTGACTAAGACTTTGTCGAGGGACAAACATTTAAAGTGTCGAACTTTGGCGGGTATGGTTGATATCTCCACCTAAGTCGGTAGGGGAAGAATTGTTGGGTATACCTCCTTATTGGAGTGTGGGACCCAATTGGTTTATTAAAATAATTTTAATTTGGTTTGGTATTAATTATAATATATTTTTATATATTATATCTAATTTGTGGAGACTCAATCCAATTTGGTTACAACTAGGGTTTGATAAAAAAAATCTACAACTTTACTATATATATATATATTGCTTTGTTTTCGGACTTTGTTTTCGGAGAGAGAAGTCAGTGGCCTAATTATATTTGTTTTTCCGAAGTTGAGTGGAGCGGCAGCCAAACATTGATATTGGGTGCTTTGATTCTTGGGTGTATATTCAAGTTGGTGCACTGGTTTTGTGTGGAACAAGTTGGTGAATATTTGGTTATTTTGGTGAAGCTAATTTGGTTCGTTATTTTAGATTTTCCTCAACTCTGATTTTGAAGATTTTGGTTCATCTATTTGGTGAGATCTTTCCTCTTATTTATTTGTGATTATGTGGAATTCACCTAAGGGTGGTTTTGTGAGACCATTCATGTCTCGTTTGTAATCGTTTGGAAACTGTTTGGTTGATAGTGGAATCGGATTTCAATCCCGTGGACATACCTCACATTGAGGGAACCACGTAAAAATTCTTGTGTTGCTTTTGATTTAATTTTTTCGCATTAGTTTTTATTGATTTACTTGTGGGAAATCACATATTTTCCCTAACAAGAGAGAGGGATCATAATCAAACACAAGCACAAAGATAACCATTTACTTACATGAGAAGATAAAGACTTGAGTTCATCAATAGTAGTTGTTAGTTGTGCAAGTCGGTTCTCCAATTCTGCATTCTTTTCTACAATTTTTTCCATTTCTTGTTTCCTCTGGAATCATTCATCATACAACAAACACACAAAAGTCGGAAACCAAGTAAGTAGATGATATAAAAAAAAATAGGAAAAAAAAAAAATCTAATAAATAGGGGATCAACAACTACTCACAACACCCATCAAAGAGTCAAGTTCAAGTTGCATAACTCGATGTTCCAGTCTATCAACCTCTTTCTTCAGGACAGCATCTGATCCCATTCCAATACTAGTGCTCACCTGTTTTGCATATATAACACAAAAATAAAATATAATAAATTAATTAGGCCCATCATGAAATTATTTTTTTTCCACATATATAAGGCAAATTACACATTTTATCATTCTAGTTTGACTTTACATTTCACTTTGATCTTATTGTTTTAATTTGAGCAATTTTTCATACAATTTTAAGTATAGTTTCAATTTGATACTTCTTTCTCTCAAATTCGTTTAAAAAAAGTTCTATGTGTAGGTCACATGAGGCTAACATATATTCCAAAATTACTAACTTAACTTGAACAGAAAGAATAAATTGAAATTAAACTTAAAATATAAAAACAAAATTATTCAAAATGAAATAATAAGTAAAGTGAAATTTGAGTCAAATTATAAGAGTGAATATTGCAATTCAAGGAGGGGAAGGTGATCGTCACGGGAGTGGGTTGATGGGAGCTGGATTCTAGTCTGGACACAGCAGACTTCAGTTCATGAATTTGATTATTGAGAGCAGCAACGTTGGTTTCAACAATAGGAGGAACTCTGGATTGTTGTTTGTAAATAGTATCTCTTAGCTCGCAAACTTGTCTCTCCAAAGCCGCATTCCTCTTTTCCAGGGATTCATTCTTTTTCCGATTAGCTTCAATGTCAGACATCAGTTGCTCCATGCACTATATATGTATGTAATAAATAAATAAACACAACAAGGATACAAATAAATAAATAAAAACTTGTTGAACAAGAAACACACACACCTCCTCGTCGTGGCTCGTGTGATTGTGAAGAAGAGGTTGTTGTTGGTTGTTGTTGTCGTCGGAGTGGGGGGAAGAAGATGAAAGTCGATTATACTGAAAAGAGTAAGGTAGTGATTGTTTGTTTCCCATTTCAAGCCTTCAGCAAGCATGAAAGCACTAAGAAATCAGCCAAAATTGGTGATCAAAAATGAAAGATTTTTTGGTGTGTATGCTGCTTATGAGATGAGAAGTTGGAAAGTAGAGATGGGATTTTTATATTATGCACAAAATTATATAATGTATGTTAGCTCTCAAGATGAGGAAATTCCCCCAGAAAACTCCCTTCACCCCCACTTGGAATTGGAAAGACTGACTTTTGGTTTTAATTTCATTAGTAAAATATAAATTAATTAATTAATTAATGGAGATTGGTTTACTTGGTCTCCTCCTAGTACCTACCAATGAAATGCAACGCAACCCGTCTTTATTAAAAGGGGTTTTTTTTTAAGCTCACTAATAATAACAATTTTCTGCATAAAGGACATTAAAAGATGTAATACTGCCTCAGGTCCCTAACCAAAGTACCCGCGCATTTTATCAATTTCTTGGACCAAAATACCCTACGTCTGTTCGTCTTCAAATGAGTTGATTTTTTTGACCTGTCCACTGGATATTCTCCTTTGTGATGCTGGTACTGGTGTTGGGTATTTTCCGGCGAGTACGAAAACAAATTCAGCAAAACAAAAGCACTAAGTTTGGCAAATTTGATTTTCTGGGTAAACAAACAGAGTGGAGTGGAGTTGATAGATGTATATATATATATATATGATACATACATATATATATATATATACAATCTGTTGCTTACTGTCTTGACTAGTATATATATCATAATTAATCAATTAAGACCATTTGCAACCATAATCAAACAGTCACTCTTGTTACATAATACCCGTACACTATTCACGGACTATGTTATGTCAATAAGGCAAGCATCGGATTATCCAGAGAAATTCTTTGGAAGTCCAGAATTTCTTTGCTTCCAACTGATGATGGGTTGCTTTCCTTCCAATTATCAAAATTGAACTGCTTTCTGTGCATTTGGGGCTTCTTATTGAAGCTTCTTGTGTTCTTGTTTTTGTAAATTTCTCTGGCTTGCTACATTTGTGTTTCTCTATTGTGTAATTTTATCTGGCATGTTTATGTTTCTTCATTATTTTCTCAAGCAAATTATCTGTGGCTTACTACTCTATTGGTGTGGCTAATTTTCTCTGGCATTTATAATTTTCTCTGGCCAAATTACTTTTCTTACTTGTGTGTCTAATTTTCTCTGGCAGCATTTATAATTTTCTCTGGCCACATTATGTTTATGTCTTGTGTCTAATTTTCTCTGGCATATTTATTTTGTTCAATGCTCCATTTCCTCAAAATTTCTCTGTTGTGTAATTTTCTCTGTCATGTTTATGTTGCTACCTTGTAATTTTCTCTGTTGTGTAATCATTGCTACCTTGTGATTTTCTCTGCGATTTAATGTTTATGTTTTCATTCTATAGAAATGGCAAAGTGCAGAAGCAGCACAACCCCAGAGACCCCGAAAAAGAAACCAAAAGTCTCTGTGTCTGCGTCTTATGATCTTAGATCAAAACGCAGCAGCAGCACCAGAACACCACAAAAAAAACAAGTTCAAGTTGAAGAAGCAATAAGCATCAAGATCAAGACACCAACTTTAAGGGTGATTTTCACTCAACTACAAGCCTAACATTTTCTCTATCATTTTCATTGGATTATAATAACAAACCTACGATTTTCTCTATACTACAAAGAAAAGTCCAGAAATATGAATAGTGCAAAAAAAAAAATGAAAAGTGCAAAGAAAACATATTAGAAAACTTTGAAAAGTGCAAACATATAAAAACACATAAAAACACAACATATAAGTCCAGAGAAATTTGTAATACTTATCATTTGTACTACAATCATATGATTTTCTCTGGACTACAAAGAAAAGTCCAGAGAAATTTGTGAACTTATATTCACTTTCAATATTACAAAAACAAAAACACATTAACATCAAAAGACAAAAATATATTAAACACAAGCACATAAAAGAATCACAGAGAAGATCTGTTATGTTCACAAAACATTCAATTCAAAAAATTAAAAAAAAAAAACAAAACACTTACTACTCTATTGCTACATCTGTAAATTTCTCTGCCTACTTACAATTTTCTCTATGATTTTCACTGCACTACAAGCTTACAATTTTCTCTGTGATTTGAGTTCAATTATAGTAACAAACCTGCAATTTTCTCTGCACTACACAAAAAATGCAAAGTGAACAAAAAACAGAGCACAAAAACGCAGAAAAACAGAGCACCAAAAAGCAACTCATAACCATGTTGACAGAGAATAAAAAAACAACTCCAAAAATCAAAATTAACTCCATCGAAAATTCATCAATAACAGATAATGAAAAATTAACTTCAAAAATCAAAAACAACAACACTGAGTTCGTCTCTCTCACATTGATCAAAACTAAAAACAAAAACCTAATTCAACACCTACACGATCAAATCAAATCAAAAATTGAAAACTTATCTAATTCAACTCCACATGAAATCAAATCAAACACAATGAACCAGATTTCAACTCCTACACGATCGATCAACATCTACAAATAACGAACATGATTTCAACTCGTCTAGGATTTCAACACCTACAAACAACGAACAGGATTTCAACACCTACAAAAACCCTAGAAAATCTCCACAAAAATCTGAATCGTCAAGTTCATCCTCACGTAATCTCCCACAAAATATCAATATGATCTTTAGCTGCCAAATTCAAAACAACGTATATTATAAACAAGGGTAAGACAGGTATTTTACTCTTTAAAATAATATTGAGGGACCTTAGGCTACAAAAGAACACATTGTGGACCAAATCCATTACTAAAAGTTAGATAGGGACCTTAAACCGATTTTCCCTTATTAAAATATGATTTTTTTGGATAATTTAAAAAATTATAAATATTCTCTTATACAAAATTATTAGAAAAAATGAAATTTATGTCTGCTTTCTTATATAATGATAAAATTATCTAAATTGTTAATTGAAATAAATTTTTGACATCATTAAAAATTGTTAACTGACATGATGATTTATTAATAAAAATGATCATTTATTGTGAATTAGAAATTCAATGGGCGGTATGCAATTTTTAGGGACAATTACAAAAAATGGTTGTTTGTTATTTAAATAGATTCTCATCCAAATTGGTTTTTGCTGGAGTAGAATGATTTAACGACAATTACAAAAACAAAATAATAATAATAATAAATAAAATAAATAAATAAAATAAAATAAACTCTAAGATTTGAGTCCTATAATAAAATAAATTATGTGTTTTTAATTTTGTCACTTTAAATTTTAAATTTGTTTTCAATTTAAACCATTCACCTACTTTCTTTAAGGAATACCAACAAAAAAAAAGTGTTTTAAATTTTTAATCATGAGACATTTAAACACAAGTCTTAATTTATGAACTTATACTTTATTAAGTTCAAATTAAGATTTTTTGGACCTTCAAATCCTATTAAATTTTTAATAGTCAGAATTGCCTTTCAAACAATAATTATTCATCATTTATGATTATATATAAGGAAAGATGATGATTTGACATTTATTTTGATTTTCAAAATTTTAAAATAGAAACTTTCAAATTGAAAAAACTAAAAATAAATTATGTGCAAAAAAAAAAAAAACTAATATATATATATATATTTTAAAAACTGAATTATTTTTTTGTACAAAATTAAAAATTTTGTGTTTATAAAGGAGTATGATGATGGAACATTGATGTACAAAATTGAAAAAAAAATAAATTTAAAACTAAAAAAAATTGATAATATTCTCAGTTTTAAAACTGGAAAAAACTGATAATATTTTTGATTTTATTGGATAGCTGAATCAAACTAATAAGTAGAAAGACAAAAACGTTTAATCTCATGCTCTTTCTTCTTTCTTTTTTTTTCCAATCAATTAGTGAAATAATTATCTAAAACATTACTATGGAAAATTGGTAATGTTCTTAGCTTTAAAAATTGAAAAACAATTGGTAATATTCCCAGTTTTACTAAATAAGACTTATTGGTTCAAAAAAATCTTAGATAGGACCTAAGCTACCATAACATTTGTAAATAGAATTTTTTGGTAATTAACTCTTGAATCATTAAACTCAATGTAGATGTATATAAAATGTTTAAAATACCTTTTTCATTAAATTTAATAACTAAAATACTTATTTTTAAATTAATTTTACGTAATAAAAGTAGACAAATGGTTTAGATTGAAAATAAATAAAAAATTTAGAGTTTTAAATTAATAAAATTAAAATTTTAAGATTTATTTGTTATTAGACTCAAAATTTGGATTTTTTTTTAAAAAAATTTATTATAATTTCGCCAATGATTTATTAGTAAAATTTGATTATAACTTGTAAACCAATTGATGCAGTATATGTAGGCATATCATGATCATATACACACATGATCATGCTTAGGATGCACATCATATTTCTTTATTTACAGTTTTCTAATGAAACATGTAGTAGCCTTCATAGATATAGGCCCTACAGGGTAAATGTTTTTAGGCTAAACTGCCCCGAGGTTTAATGAAATTGCAAGGTTCATGAATATGAATATGAATATATTGTTGGGTCATGAACATGAATATGTTGAAATGGGGTTGAATTTTAGGTGAACTCGTATACGAGTAAAGAAAGTTTATAACTAGACAACCAACCAGGAGCTTGACAATATTTTTATGATTAATTTGTAAAAGAATGACGACCTCATCATTTCTTTTTTGACAAGACAACACCAAAAACAATAAAAATGACAACACCAAAACATACAACACAGCTTTAACACGGAAACTCAAAACTTCAACGCAACTGACCAAAGGAACACGATATACCTAATTTATTTAAATAACTAAGATGAAGACCAGAAGAAAAAGTCAATCCTTCTCATTTTGACACAGCGGAATAAACGGGACTAGATATTAGTTTAATAGATAAAAAAAGCTTTTGAATATAGAAAGAAAAGAGAATATTTTAATATTATTAATTGAATAAATCTATTACGTATATTTATAGACTTATTTATAATAAATTAAACCTAATACTTATAAAAAAATTAATTTTAAAATAAATTAAAAAATTTAAATCAACACAAATTAAGAAAACTAAAAGAAACTATTTAAGCTCCTAGTCAAAATCTAATTCCAAAATAATAAAATTTAGAAAATCTAATAATTCTAAAATATTTATACTAAATTA